AAGATGGTGCTGGTTTCTTTCCCATCGTGTTTTGCAAGGGTCTTTTGAAGTTTTGTGATGTAATCTTCTGTATCGTGTTTTGGGTGAATCCTTGGCTAATCCAACGTTCTCTCCCTTTGATTCTTGTAGTTATGGATGTGCTCCATACTTATTGTTCGGATATGCTTGCCCTTTTACATTTCAATCTGGAGAGACGAGTTTTTTTTTGTTTTTTTTTTTCAATTGTTTTGAAAAATTCTGTTTGAATAGTCTTTGATGGTTTTATCTTTATCTGGTTATTGGGCATCGACTGTTTTATATTTGTAATTTTCAGACGGAATGATATCTTCCTTAGGATTTCGCAAACGATAAAAGGATTGTGTGTCCAACTACAGCATATGTCTCGGGGTAATGGATTGATGCTTATTTTTGTCCGATCGCGAAGCCTACGTATCGCCAATCTTTGCCAACCCTTTGGGCAGTTCTCTTTCCTTTTTGCACAAAACTAGCGAACAAGCTTTGTGGTGTTTAAAGTTCGATTAAAAAACCTCTGTTTTCCAAGCAAAAAAAAAACTGGGGAAATCAGTTTTGCCTTTCCTTGATATCCATACATATTGGATCCTTGATCGTCGCAATAAGGCATGGTTGTTTTGCTTTGTTTGCTGCGCGGCTATTCGCGCGGTGGCTTCCTATTCGTAATAAAACACACACATAGAAGGGGTTATACTTAAAGTCCCCTCTGTAGCCATCAATGGGGGTCGATTCCTCCTTGTCAAGCATGTTGATAATAATTTCTGCCTTATGACATATTAATGGATCCTTGTTATGGGTAGGAGAAAGCGAAATGATTCCTGTATTCTGGGGAAGAATGGTTGTTGCTTTTCAAACTACAGAGTTTTATTAAAAACCGACATTAAAGCGTCGTGCCTTGTCTGTGTGTGCAACAGAAACCTACTTTCACGCCAAATGGTTGGTATGCGGATTTGGTGCAAGGGGGGCAATCGTGGTTGGATAATTTCAAAGCACCGTCACGTCCGGCACAGGCTTTAATAGCCTTGGCTAACCCGGTTGTCCTGGATTTTGTTAGGGCCAACTCTTTTAATGTTCCTCCCCCTTACCCGCCACTACTATCTATCCTACGTTTCAATGACTGGGCGGACCTAATTTGGGCGGCCTCATATGATGCAGCCTCTTTTCCACAGGTTACTAGGGATTTCGTGGAAAAGGCCAAGGATGTGGTCGACGGGGACATTCTGACCCATGTCTCCATAGTAGATGAGTTAGCCTTAAAAGAAAAGATTTTCGTTGATCTCTGGGGGGCCAAATCGGCCTTCCATGATGGGTTGGTAACTGTCCCAGTCACGGAATCCTTTGAATCTGACTCGGATTGTGATGGGTTGGACCTCACTGAGGAGGAAAAGCGTTTCCACGCTGCTGAGTTGGCGAAAACCCAGTAGGGCCTTATCAGTGGTTTGGCTAAGGATAAACGTAAATCGGTCTCCAAATACATGAGGAACGCTTTTCTCCCGTTAGCTCCCAGTAGGTGGATTGAGTCGGAGTCAACCGGACTCAACGACAAGGTCTGGGAGCTCGAGACCTTCAACCACTCTGCTCCCATTAGCATTAGGGCGTATCAACTCCTTGCTTCCATCACGGAAGCTGAAATGGATCTATGCTTGGACAAGGCGTTAAACGAGGACACGGAGCTCATCAAGGGCCCGTATCCGATAGGTCCTGATGCTATGGACTTACCGCCGGTGGGGCATTTTGATCGTACCAAGTGTTCTGTGTCCAGTTCGCAGCTACATATCAGAAGTTTTTGTGCTGCAAGGAGCCCTGATGTTATCTCTGAATTAAAGAGAATCTAGAATGTCGGTCGTCCCTTCCTCAAGTGCAGATGCATTGACGAAGGGAAGGAGGATTGCAAGACCACTATCACATGGTTTGACCATGTCTTGTGGTATTTGCTTGCCAATACTAACTTTTTGTATCTTGCGGCTCCCTCTCTTAGAGCCAGGATCAGAGCCTTGAGGAACCTTCTTAAGAAGAAGTGGAGAGCCCCCATCCTCGCGTCCATCGTTTTTTCACACATGAGGCGCATCATGACTCAAATGGTTGAGAATGTGATTAGTAACCCGTGTAGAAGGCAGGGTACAATCCATGATGATCCCGCGATTATGTCGCGCAAATTTCCGCGGAAAATGGCTGCGCTAATCCTCCCTGATAAGTACATCAAGAGCCCGGCAAGGAAGCGAAGGGTCCAGGAAAAGGATAAGCGCCCAACGAAAAGGCAGAGCAACACGTTGCTTTCATACCATGTCAGACCCGTGGTTGCGGAGGCGCGGCAGGACCAGGGTTTTGGTGGTAGCCAACAGATGGCTGATCTGGCATCGTCGAACATGAATGCGGATGATATGCCTATACAGGATACTCCTCAGAGCTCAGTTGTCACAGTCCAGTCTGAACATGGCAGCTCGGTTGTGGGCAAGCAGTTGAGGAGGAGTCCTAGATATTCAACGGCAAGGGCATCGCTGTTCAAGTAGTATCCTATTTAACTTTGCCTGTAATTTGTTCGCTTTGTTTGCAGATCAAGATGGATTTCTGATTACTGACAAAGCAGGAAGACTGAAATGGCAGACGAAGCAAAGTGAAAAGGGCAATCTGTTTGTCCACATCAAATATGCTAATCGTGCTATGGAGGCAGTCAGATTCAGAGAAATTATTGAGAAGGCCTTTGAATTGTTCTTCTCGCATGAGGCTGTTATCCTCCTCTCCTCGCTTGTTATTGGTTGGACGTACCTTAATTCCCTAGAGTCGGTGGTATCTTTTCCTACGCATGTGTTCAGGGATTTTGATCTCAAAACTTGGATCCTGGAATGTGCCAGGGGAAGCAACTGTCCATGTGTACGCAGACGATTTCTTGCCTACCATGCGGATTGCACTAGGGAAATGAATCAGCCATTTGTTTCAACGTCCACTCATGTGTTGACGTTGGATCCTGACATATCGTCTAACAAAGAACTTGCGCTGCTACTCAGAAATGGCATCAACCATATCCCCGTCCAACCCATGACTGTGGCAGTTGCAAAGGGAGAGTTCTTAAAGACTTGGGATAGAATTGTTGAGTTGATTGTCCAAAGAATTTTTCTCCCTGCTGGTGCGATTAAAGAAGCATACAAGTTTGTGTGCAGCCAGATCTCACAGCAGCTATCCACCGCGGTCCTTAAAAAGCATAAGGGGCAGCCATGTGTGCTAAATAATCACGCGGCTAAAAATGAAATTAGTTTTCTAACAAGGTTCGTTTTTATTTCGGGAACCGATAAAGCTGCAAACACTCCTTCTTTTGCATGTATTCACCTGGTGCGCAAGCTAGCACTTGAGCGTCTGAACAGTAATGATTTCGAACCAATAGACCATTCACCGGAGCAAATCATTATGGAAGCCAGGCAATCACTTTCTGTTATCCTACCAGGTGGATTTGATATGTCGGAAAGGATACCGTTCCTGATGGCTCTTTACAAGCACCACAAAAGATCGTTCAGATGGATAACCAATGCATCGGCATCATTCCTCACCATGATAGCAAAAATCTGCGATGCTTCGATCAAGACTCTAATCCCTCTCGTTAAAAGCAGATGTAAGTTGATCACTGATGGCATTAAGGGATTTCATGGCGTTGAAACTTCATTGTGGTGGGTGGTGGATTCGGTCCAGGACTACTGTTACAACCTACCGAAAAAAGTATTTTCGGTGTTCTCAGCGGATATTGCCAGGTGCTTTGAGACTATTCCTATAGGGCAGGAGGAGGATGGGCTTCTGGAAGCGGTAAAGTTCTTCCTAGGGATTGGATGGGGGATGATGGGCACAACTAGATTTCTCAAATGCAGGATAGCGACAAATGGTAATGTTTCGTGTAAACTTGTGGAACGGTCAGGGAAGGAATCGGAAAGGGTGATATACCTCACCAAAGATAGGATAGTTCAACTAGTCCAATGGATTCTCAATAGGTGTTTCACCAGCCTCGGGAGGAGCTTCTAGAGACAGAAATATGGCATACCAATGGGGCTTCCTTGCTCGCCTGCTTTCTGCAATATCTATTTTTTCAAATATGAATATAGGATGATAATGAGAATTGTTGACTGCAGGGCGTTTGAAATCCTACCGCTGTTCAAATATGCGTTCAGGTACATTGATGATTTGCACTGCTTAAACAACCCGCTTATTCTGAGATTTTTGGACCCAGAGGCTACTAAAAACAACATTTACAAGCTATACCCTATGGACCTCATCGAAATCAAAAACCAAACCGAGATCTTTTCAAATGAAACTCTGGATGAATTTTGCGGCCTAAAAACCCAGTTCTTGAATCTGGAGATTTCTGTTGTCTCTAAACAAACGGGTGAGTTAGTTTGTATCATGGAGAGAAGGTTAATGGACTTTTCCATCTCAAAATACGTGAAATTTCACTCTAACCGTCATATTCGGCAGTCGGTAAACATTATCATCTCCCAGGCCGCCATCGTCTTGGTGCTGTGCTCTGAACCAGAAGATGCAGCAAAAGAGTTAGTTTGTATCATGGAGGAAATGGTTAACAACGGTTTCCACAGGCAAAAGTGTATGAGATGCATTTATCTGGTTCTTAACTCTCCGCAACGGTACATGAAACCCAGAGTGGACGTTGGTAAAACAAGTCTCATCTTCAAGGTACGTCTCGTCCTCATGTATTGTGATGTGGTGTGAATTTAAACTTGTGTTTTGTTGTGCTGTGTTCGTGTGTATATACATATATATATATATATTTTTTTTTTCAAGTCCCGAAAGATATGGACTGTGAAAGGACGCTGGTAGGTACCTTGCTGTTGAGGCAGGTACCTGTCACCGGCCTCAACGGTAACCTGCCAGCCGGGAATGGGGTGGGACACACACACACACACACACACACACACACACACATGCATACATGCATTCAAAAAAAAAAAAAACGTTATCTTCCATGATATTTTTGTCAAAAGATGGTCGAAAATGAAGGTCGTGCTCATAAAATGCTGAGTGGTGTTGACCCTCGACGTGATGTGGTCCTCTCCCCTGAGGATTGAACGGGGGATTGAGTGCTACGGTAGGATGTGGAGTTTTGATGGCGTGACGGTCCTCGTTTTATCCACCCTATTTTTCGTCCTATGGCACGACATCGGTGTAGGACAATAAAAAAGTTTTTTCGATCGTGAGGGGTACCCACACACAAAAAAAGAAAAAAAAAACCCTTAGGTTCCTATAAGGCTAACGAAGTGCAATTTTTTGCTTGGTACTCGCCCTGACCTTCCCCTTCGGCCCACGCTCCGATACTGGGACCAATCCTGGTTGGTTCCGTGATCATAGACTGGGTAGTGGTCCCGTTCACCAGTACTTAAGTATCGGTAAAGTAGTAATCTCTCCCTCTCTCGATAACGCGTAGAATCGCGGCGCCTGAATTCAATGTTGCTCATTGAGTCCACGGCCCCGCGTTCTCGCGCTATTGCAGTACCTATGGGGTGGAAGCGCTGATCTATCGTTGCT